GTTATTATTGAGAGGTTTCACTTTATAACTCATTAAAAGAAGAAAAGAAGAGCTAAACGCAATAAGATGACAGATGTCCAGTTGATCATAAGATTCCAAACTTACCTTCTCTGCATCACAGTCTACGTGGCCCAGCTTCACCTTACCCTCAAGGTTCTTAGCAGCTTTCTTCCACTCAGGAGCAAGCTTTTTGCAGTGCCCACACCTTAAGAAAGCCATTTAAATTTAAGACCTCGGTAAGTTAATAGAAACAGCACACCAAAGGAAAAAGGGTAAAGGGAAACAACACATAATCTAAAAGAAAGTAAGGGTGAGAAGGGTCTTCGGGAAGAAAATAAGAAAAGTTGGATGAAAGAGGTAACTTATGACTTATCCATCACATTCACATATACCTTTAGCATACGCGTCTTCAGAAACTTAGAGTAACCTTTTCGTACAAAAATAAACTCTAGTAAAAAGGTCCACCTTAAATGTTAAGGGTCTTATAACTTCCAACCTTATAGAGAAACTGAGATTCCCCACCATATAGTTTACCTCAGCTTCCAATGTCTGATACTTCTTCTCTCAGATTTGTGAATAGTTAATTACCTAATTATCAGAGTTTACATCAGGTGAAACAATGTCCTGCAGTTTCTTCCCCGAGAAACTGGAATCATAAGATTAAATAATGGGCCATGGAATTTAGGGGTTAATGATTATAACAACCTAGAGTCATTTACAGATCTTTACTCTGCACGGCGCCACCGCACTAGTCCTTAAAGACTAATTCAACTACTCAACTGAAACATTCAGAAATACTTACAGTGAATGGGTTATCATCATGTGAAAGAAAGAAAGAAACAGCATATATACACCAACAAAGAGGTCCTTGGACTCTTGCAAGTACAAATAATTTAGCGGCTGGCGATGAAGAAACTAAAGTCTTAACAGTTGAAACTTACCAAGGTGCGAAAAACTCAACTATCCAGAGATCTTTGCTCTTAAGCACCTTCTCATCAAAGTTTCGTGAGTTCAACTCTATTGATGCACTAGGCTCAGAACTCTGGGAAGACCCTCCTGTAGCTTTTCCATGTACTCGGTCCTTCAGCAGTGCCTTGATCTGTAAGCAAAGCAATTGACATCAAAACCTTTCCAGGTTTCGGATGAAGACTCAAGTAGGACATGGAGAAAGGATTCAAGATTATTATTCCATTGGTTGTGCAAGACATAATGATTAAAAGCTCGACAGGATGATTTTCAATCAAATAGGTTAATTACTACCAATCAAATGTGTAATGTATATAGAAAGTCATGCTTAAAACAAAGATACATTTGTCCAATCAAATATAAGGAGAAACCATAGAATCCGTTTTCTTGACAAGTAAACGGGATACAGCTTCACACTAGATATCGCCAAAAGGAATTTATTCATCTTAACACTAGATTTGGATCTGCCAATGCATTTTATCTAGTAATAAGAATATGAACGGCAGAACCTTTTGATTTGTTAGAGACAAAGGGATTTTACTGGAGCTGAAATCGTAAAAAGGGGAGGAAAAAGACATGATGCTAGGTGACTTTCAAGTTTTTTAACATAAACAAAAGTTGGAAAATAGAAAGCCCCGGTACAGACTGACTTTCAAACAATGTAAACAATGATATTTACCTGCTGCAATGCGAATTCCGCAATTGGTTTCGCCTCACGTGCTCCTTGGTAATCAACAGGAGGTTTTCCAGGTGCAAACACCTTGATGGTAGGAAATCCTTTGATTCCATATTCCTAAATCACAAAAACATGTGTCAGTTTTATCACTTCTGAATTTATCTAAAAGTGTGAAACAGAAAACTTAAGTCTGATAATTGTTATTCTGATGCCGCTTGGCATCGTCAAGTTTAAGAATAGTTCATTAATTGATAATATGCATAAACGTGCACCTAAAAAGATGTGAAAAGTGAGAGGTAGAGGCGTAGAGCCATGAAGTTTATCACTCAGCTTCTTCTTATATTCTATTAGATTTTAATCGTACTCAGGCTAAGAAAACTTTTAAGTTATTCTGTGTAGAGCTACTTTAGATTAGCTCACAATTCTCCAGGTATTATTTTCTTAGAAAAAAAGTTAAGCTACATACCAAGTCCTAGAAGCTTCAGTAACCACTGTGAAACTCAAAATGAAAGCAGACCAAGCGTAGAAAACTAAGAACAAGGTCAACGATTCTTTAACTTCATGGGTTTTAACTATTTCTACAGAATTAAACAGCCCAATAAAAGTAAGCTGGGCACATATTGCACTTCTATATCTGCCTAGCTAGATATTTTGGTTATGAACCTCCACCAAAAGAGGAGATTAGAAAAATTCAATTGAGGTAGTTTTATGGAGTACATTGATCCTATATGTGTGAATTTTATGTTTATCTCAAGCTTTGAAATATCTGTCTGAAGAACAGAACCCAAGAGATAGCAAGAATTCTTTTTTTCCTTTAGCTAATAATCTCCTCCCCTTTACTCTTGACATACCGTCAAGTTATATATATTCTGGGATGTTTCTATATCATGTTAAGGTTGCTCGGAATGCCTCAGTCATAATTACAAAGCTTAGAAGCCCAAAACTGAACAATTGACCATAATTCGAGCACCATCAATCGACGTTATATGAATCTTGGCACGGGTATTATTTGTTAAAGTGGAAGCATCTAGTATGAGGATGTGCATATCTTTAACTAACTTTTAGTGTATGAAGAATTTGCACAAAGTGGTCATATCATGTCACGCCCTTACAATGCATCAACAGAAATGAATGATTTCCCTGACACAAGGTTATTGAATGAAAGACATGCATCTCACCTTTTTATTTTTCGGTGGAAGACAACATGCATCTCACATTAACATGTTCTTTCAGTTTTATCAATCATCAGACCTCACCGTTCTTTTCGGCGCATTATCTCTCTTTTCAGCGCATTATCTCTAGGCCATAACCAATATCATTCAAGCAAGTTTCATCAATTCACAAATATTCTTAAGTGAACTCCGTGCAGATTTTAATAGAAGAATGTTAACCAAAGTGAAAGGTGAGTTTTTTAAAACAATTAAAGAGTTATAAGACCATGAATGTTATATGGGAGTGAATGTTGGGCAGCTACAGTCCAACACATCTACAAGATGAATGTTGCTGAGGTGCAGATGGATGTGCAGTCATACAGGACTAAACAAGATTAGAAATGACCATATTCGTGAGAAGGTTCTGGTAGCATATACAGAGGATAAAATGGGAGAAAGCCGCTTGAGATGGTATTGTCATGTTCTGTCGACCACCAGAACCAGGGTGAGGGAAGGTGTTAAAAAGGGAGGTATTGTTTGGCAGGACCTACAACTCCTTGGGATCCATGAAGACTCAGCAAAAGATAGGGCATAAAGGAAAAAGAAACTATTGGACAGCGATACCTATTAATTGAGAATATGTTTGAGTCCTATTAGCACTTTTATTTTACGTCCTATACTTTTCTAAGAGTGTTTAACCTTTCCAGATATTTATACATCATAGAAAAATATAAAGAACTTCTAGTACTTTTTGTTTTTGTTTTTGTTTTTGTTTTTATTTTGCATATTGGCCTAAGATTAATTTAAATGGAGCAGCATAGTCAGTGAGGATTCATATAGCCGACCTCAACTTATTTGGGACGGAGGCATAGTAATTGTTATTGTTGCTCATGTTTCAAAACAGAAAACACTACTAAAATTGATTTAGTAAATGAATATGCACCTTCAGATAACATTAACTTAACCATACCTGTGCAAGGGATTGGTGAGCATCGGCATCAAGAGCTGCTACGGTGGCAACACCTTTCAATATAGTAGCTGCCTTTTCCCAATGGGGTGTCAGAGCTTTACAATGACCACACCAAGGTGCAAAGAACTCAACTAAAACAATACCATTTGAATTTAGCACCTGCAATCACCCATTAAAAGTTCAAGATCTTTTAATAGCAATTTAAAGAAGCATGTGCCAATTACAGTAAAAAGCTAAAATCACACGGAAAAGGCCTACAAATCCTTGGAATCAATACAGACTTAGCTAAGGCATAATGGAAGAGGAAAATTCATATTGGTAATACCTACTAGCTGGGAATAGGTTTTAGACTTGGTAGAGAATTATGGTAAATGATGATGATGAGTTGAGCTAAATGAAAGGAATGAGGATTCATATAGCCGACCCCAACTTGCTTGGAACTCGGGCATTGTTGTTGTTGTAATCACCCATTAAAAGTTGAAGATCTTTAAAATGCAATTTAAAGAAGCTTTGTTGTGTCGATTACAGTAAAAAGCTGACATAAGGCAGTAAAACACCACGAAAGTAGGATATAAACACATTTCATAAATATTCATATGTGCACTAGTTTTAACCCAAATTTTTTTTAAAATTTTAATTGTTTTAATTTTATTTTGAGAATGCAATGGAAGTTTAAACGGATTGCTGCTTCTTTTTAACTCCGTGTCAATCATCCAAAACTAAAAATGTTAACTTTACAGTGTCAAGGTAGTCTACAGATCATTACCACTACCATATAGGAAAACAATTTCAGTAAACCAGTGCATTAAAGCTACTAAGGATAAATACAAAATCAATAATCCAAACTCTAGAGGATTAACAATGAGTCCAAATAACAAGAAAGAATGACATAATCAACGATCTCGCGTTTAGATACATACATAGATACCTTTTAACAAGACAATAAATTGATATAAGAAATTGGGTTATCCCGTTCAACTAAAATCGAAGTGAATCTATGTTTAAATTTGGGTCTTGAATGAAAATTGGAGAAAATAGGGAGGTGGAATAAAAAATACCTTAGACTTAAAGTTGGAAGGAGTTAACTGAAGAACTGGTGATGAAGGTCCGTACAATGCATTGGCGGTGGCAATAAGGTATACAACTATCAATAAAAGTGGAAAAAACGAAGCTCGATCCATTCTTTTCTTCTTTCGTCGTATCTGTCAAAGAGAATTTAGAGGTATTAATAGTGAGGGGTAGGAGTAAAAAAGAGAGAAACACCATGTTCTAATTTCTGTTGCGTGGCAATTACTACGTGGTATTAACCAATTAGAGTTGTCCATGTCAGCTTATGATGTTATTCCGGTTTCAGAGATCCAACACAATGACTCGACTCGATTGTTGGGGAAAAAATGGACGTATGAGATGTTTCCTTTTTTTTTTTTTTTTCTTTCAAGTAGAAAGTTCTAGATATTTTCACCAATACCTTGTTGTTTTTTTTAGTTTAGCCATTCAAAATTATTCTTATGCACCCTATCAAACTATCTCTTAGTATATGAAGTTTACTGAAGTGATTAATTTAGATTCGCACAGTAAATAGACCCTATTAAGGGAGGAAAGGACGTTTCCTAACGAATTTTCTTTTATTTTCAATATTTGAATTCGAACTAGTTAAAAGTAGAGAGACCTCATTATAGTATAGGTCCAAAAAAATAATTAACCTCGATGGGATCAAGCTAAAAAAGAAGTTTTTTTGGGATTGGACCTTGGATTAATCAATTAATTAAGAAAATTTTATCTCTTATAGCAAAGGTATATACACTCTATTTATTATAAACTAAAATTATTTTAAAATATTATTTTTTATAGCTATTATTTATATTTTATAGCAAAACATGTATTTATGATATACCCTACCATTGAGGTGTGAAATGCACTATTTATGTTTTTTCTCTCTTTTTTTTTTTTGCCGGATAACACGCGATTCTTTGTCAAAATCTCAGCAAAATTATTATTTTTTCTCTCTCTTCCTTCTCTCTCTTCGAGCAAAATACCTCCTTCAAATCTGGCTGAATCCTTCATTTTCCTCTCGTTGTTGTCTTAAGTTTAAGCATAGTTAATCTAAAAACATTCAAGTTTTTAAGTTATGAATCCCTCAGCTCCAAGTGATTATGTTTCAAAATCTCCACTGCTTGTTTACGGCGAAAAGCCAACAACTGGAATCCCTGAGCAGCAGCGAGCTATGCCCCTCAGTTTCAAGCAAATTGAAAATACTTCTACAGGTTCAGTCAATCTACATGTGAACATGAACGTTGGATGAATAATAGGGCAGAAGTTTTTAAATCGATGAATCATCAATTTCTACATAACTATGAGTCAGAATCGTCGCCTTCATCATCACTATTGGCTCATCCTTCTAGGTGAACAGATCTATCCATGGCTACGCCGGAGAAGATTTGAGGGATAGGTTTTTGTTCATCTTCATTTTTAGTTTTATTACAATGTATACAGTATTTTGCTTGGCCGAAAAATGCTATTTGCGGCGAACTTTCTTCTCTTCTTTGCTATTCAGTCACATACAATGATACAAATACATTGTAAATACACTCAAATGTATATTATTTTTGTATAAATATATTTTTTTCACTTGTATTTATGTGTTTCGAAGGTCTGTATTTTTATAATACAACCTAATATCACTGTGTTTTTTGATTTTTTATTGTTTGTATACAGTAGAATTAAATGTGGTGAATTGAATACAATAATGAATATCTGTGAATTAAATACAATGTATACAGTCAAATTTGAAAAGGTTCTTATAATTTCCGAATTTAAGGAGATGCAAGATATGATTTACTTTTTCTCAAAGTATGAGAGCGAATTCGTCAAATCTAAAGTTTGCTTGTAGATCTTTTGAAAATCTTCAAAGGTTTTGTTTGGTTAAATTTTTTTTAAGAAATTTTTTATTAGAAAAGATTGGTTGAGCAGTTTCTTTTTCAGCAAATATTTTTCATAACTTCTACTTACAAAGTTTTTAAAGACCTATAATTATTCAAGCACAATTTTGTTTTGAACATTGACCTCAAAAATATTTCTTCGACGAGGAAAAAGAATATGTAAATGCTACTGTATTGAACTAACAAGAAGAATTAACCATTATAGGTGTCCATCCAACCACCTATATTAAAAATCGCCCATGGATGTAATATATATATATATATATATATATATATATATATATATATATATATATATATATATATATATATATATATATATATATATATAAAATTCATATATAATAAGTATATAACTATGTACAGTTAATGTATAATCAATTTATATCGGTTAGAAAATTTAAATAGTAATTTGACTGCCTATTTGTGTATAGATCCTACTAACAATGCATTCGCTCTTGGGTTTAGCTATAGTTTGAACTTGTTTTGGGCTTCAAAAGGCAGGTACATAGAGGGGGAAGTGCACGGTTAGCCATTAATATCACATGTATTTACTTTTAAGCCACTGTTTAAAATGTCTTTAGTCTTTAGCTACTACTTTAATAAACTTTTACTGCCCGGACGAAAATACCCTTCTGCTCGTATCCTTAACTTTTGAACTTAACTTCAGGACTACAGGACTACGTGTCCTTAACTTTTGAACTTAGAACTCTAAGTTCGGGACTTCAGGACTACGTGTCCTTAACTTTTGAACTTAACTTCAGGACTACATGTCCTTAACTTTTGAACTTGTAATTGTAAGTTCAGGACCAAGTGTCCTTAACTTTTGAGCTTGTTAATCTAAGTTCAGGACCTATTGTCCTTAACTTTTGGGCTTCTTAGCCTAAGTTCATGACCTATTGTCCTTAACTTTTGAGTTTGTTAGTCTAAGTTCAGGACTTCAGGACCTATTGTCCTTTGCTTTTGAACTTGTAACTGTAAGTTCAGGACATATTGTCCTTAACTTTTGGGCTTCTTAGCCTAAGTACAGGACTTCAGAACCTATTGTCCTTAACTTTTGAACTTGTAACTGTAAGTTCAAGACCTATTGTCCTTAACTTTTGAGCTTGTTAATCTAAGTTCAGGACCAAGTGTCCTTAACTTTTGAACTTGTAATTCTAAATTCAAGACCAAGTGTCCTTAACTTTTGAACTTGGAACTCAAAGTTCAGGACCAAGTGTCATTAACTTTTGAACTTGTAACTGTAAGTTCAGGATCCATAACGTAGCAGAAAACCAAACGTTATTTGTATCTTTTCACAACAAAAATAATAATAATAATAATTGCAATTTACATATAAGATTGATGTCAAATTACACAACAGAAAGCTAATAACAAAAAGAAACAACTAAAAAAATAAAAGACTACAGAACCTAACCAACCAAAAGAAAAATAAAAATAAATAAAACTCAGAAAGTTTGTTTTCTAAAGTTTTCTGTTCTAGGATTGCAGCAAAGAACACTTCACGATCATCTCTATCCAGTTTAGGAACAACAACCCACTTTTGTTGCTTATACATCAGAATCTTGAATGCTTCTAAATAATCTTTCAATTCTTCCTTCAAACAGAAAAAGCTATCAATCCATTAAAGCCCACCGGGCCTCAAAACTCTATCAAAATCATACAACACAAAATCCAGCAACACAAAATCAATCCAGCCATCAAGAAACCTCGTCGTACGAATCAAATCTAATGTGTTATCAAAAAATGGTAGCCTCTGATTTATAGTTAAGTAAAGAGGAATTAGCCCTCAAAGAGCAATCATTTTGTTAAATGGTGCACCAAGAAACACTAAAGAAGAAAATCCTTCCGGCACAGTTCTTCTCCTTAACATGAAAGAGATAGAAGAAAGGGTAACACAATCTTTTCATATTAATTTTAATAGACTAGTGGCTACTATTGCTAAGCATTAAAAATGTTGGATAAAAAGTAAATACCACTTTAAAAAGTGGCTACCCCACACAATTTTTGCGCACATAGAGAGAAATGGATCCAACGAATTTTGGACATTACCATACATCCTTAGAGCAACAAATTGGGCCTTTCTAATAGTGTGGTGCGGCACGGGCTCACAGCTTTCAACATGGAATTTTTACATTCCTATGCCATATAGTAAACTATATTACCCTCCATGCTTAACTTTAATATAATTACCTTCTATATATCTAATTACCATTTATGTACCATTTTAGGATTTTAATGGTATTAATTAGTCTCCTAATTTTAGTCAACCGTATATTCCCACTCCCCCAAGTTTCTCTCTCCAAATCCCCATGATTTCCTCTTCAAACACCCACGATTTCCTCTTCTAAAACCAGCAAAAATCTGTAACCCCTCCAATATTGACAACCATTAAAAAGCTTTGAAGCTTTGGATTCGAATTTGGGTTTTCAAAAGACATTGTTTGTTTGGATTGGATGTTGTTGCAAAGAATTGAGAATTCTCTTTACGTCTCTCTCTATCTCGCAATCCCAAATTTCAGTAATATAAGAGGAAAGGAAAAGAGAGCAGTAATTCCACCATTGACAGCCATTAAAAAGCTTTGAAGCTTTAAATTCAAATTTGGGTTTTCAAAAATTATTATTTGTTTGGATTGGGTGTTGTTGTAAATAATTGGGAATATGGTTTGGAGTTTATATCTCAATTTTGAGGGGTTTTGGTGAAGATTAGACTTGGTTTTGGCTGAATTTTAAATTGAAACTCGAAGAAGAAGAAGAAGAAGACATGACATACATTATATTGCAGAAATTGTAGATAAATTGTAGAAAAATTGTAGACTGCTGTTTATTTATTTTTGAGCTTTGTGTTTTTGTGTTAAAAGTTTTGATGGGAGCTTGTTATTCCACTTCGTCTGTTTTGGAGCTAACTTGTGCAGATGAGAAGATGTTTTTTAAGTTATATATATATATATTGTTATACCTTTAAATTCAAGAAAGTATGGTTGTATGGAATTTAAAGAGGCGTGAATTTGTAAAATAGGTTGAATGTGAGGAATGAGTCAAATAAGACTCACAATGGCTTGTTTTCTACATTTATTCTACAATAAAACTGCATATCATTTGAAAAATTAATATGAAAATATAGAATTTCAATGTTTCTACAAAATTTCTACAAACTGTTCATAATAGAATTTATCTTTATTTTCATGCATGTTCGTCTGGAACACTAAAGTTACTTGATATGCCAACATCTCCCGTTATAGAGGAATACAACTTATCTATAATTTTCTACAACTTTCACACATTATTTCCACCCAGTGAAATACAATTACAATAACATAAAACTTAC